TGAGGGAACAAGTACAGTTCAAGGACAGATCTTTAAGGACATTTTTGCCCATAAAGAGGAGATTTGGAGTATCTGAGTTCCTGTAGCCCCTTCTACTGTATTTATAAAAGGCCAAACTACAGTAGCTACCAAAATCTTCCATATGAAGAGACAAACTTTTTTGCCTGTGAAGTAAATAAGTATTTTTAGAATGGCACATGAACAGGCTTTGCTACAGTAATCGCCTATGTAATTTGTAGTGATGTGGTCTCCAAAAGATGAGACAGTTTACAGAGCCAGTCTTGGAACAGCCTAAGCTGATTTTTCTCTATGCTTTTTAGGGAAAAACAGAGATTAAAGGAAATTCCAAGTGAGCACTGAAATTAGAATTTATTCAGTGTACTTTTCTGAAGAAAAATGAGGGGACTTTTTTCTGTTTCAGCTCACCGAAACAAAAATTATATTTTGGATAGCACGGATTTAGCATACTGTCTCTAGCTTTCATAGGTTTTTTTCTGTATAGGTCTGCTTACAGTTATATTTGGGGGATGCTTGTTTCTACTTTAGACCACTGAAAATCCTTCATTTTGTGAAGGAAGGAACCATTTTCAGAACTTAGTGCTTTTCTTTTTTCTGTGAAGATATTAAGTCATGTTTTCAATGTCTCACCAGACTCCAAGACGTGTTAAAATGATGCTAAGGCCTTTTTATAGGGGTAATGTAGGTGGTGCTTTTGCCAGACTAAATCTCAGTTTACACAAAAACCCCTGTGTTTTGAACCTACTTAACCAAAACTTCTATATGGACAAGAGCAAATTTAGTATTCTTGGCGGGCTGTTTCTAACACAGGAAGACCATGAAATATGCCTACTTCTGCTGTATAAGCAAACTGTAAAAATTACAGTCTTTCTGGTTTATGATCTCTGCTTAGGGAGGGCCAGGAGTCTGTTGCTTTTGAAAAAATGCAAACTTGTAATGACTAATGCCCTAAAATTAATTGTGGGACTTCTTGAAAGTGACGCCAGGTTTATTTTTTAGATAGTGGAATTAGAGGTGGATGTACTTACTTTATTCCATTCAATTACATCTCTATCAATAATTCATCTGGAATAGATCTAATCTCTCTGGGCCTTTCAGCAACTTTTCATTGACTTACTATACCTGAGTACAAAAGGAACAAAAGACCCAACAATTCACTGTAACAATGAATTTAGTATTTCTTGGAACCTATTTAACTGTCCAGAGCGTGTTACCTTCCCTGTTTCTGGGCCCAACTTCACAGTAACTGGGAAGTCAAATCCCTTCATACGCACTTAATTCACCCCATTTTTTAATATTAAAATTCTCATATTCATTATATGCATGGAACATTAACGTGGGAAAAGCTGTAATCAGTTGGTTTCATCAAAATGTAAAAGATTTTTGTTGTAGGCAAAAATAGAAAAAATAATCGGTGTTTCTTCAGTTTATTTTAGTGCTCTTGCTCTGCTCAGATTGCCTAGATTATTGTCTTTCGGCTATATCCATGTATTGTATTTCAGTTGATAATAAATGGATACAGCATTGAGGATTTGGCATAGGTTCCTTAAAGTCTTTAAACCTCTAAATCCATATCCTTTTAGAAACTTAAAAATAGGTGTCACTTGTCTTTGGAAATACCCCTTTGAACAAAGGAGTATGCGAGTTCTTTTCGTTACCCAGTCTGAAAACTAATCTGTGTAACTTGTGGCAAGGAGCTTAGATAAACATTTTGTGCTAAACTTTAAGGCAGAATAAAAGAAGAATGGTAACGGTGTCATAGCTTGTGTTGGCTTTATGGATATGTACATGCAGAACACTTCTGGTTTTAGGTCTTTCCATGAGGACCTCTCCTTCTGTGAGGCTTTTTGTCCTGGAACTGTTAGAATTTGAGCCCCTGGCTTTTGCTTTTTTTTGACTGAGCTGTGGCTACTTGCTGTATATTGGGCATGTACCACTTGTTAAAGCAGGGGGGGAATCTCCTGAAGGAAGAGGATCATCAGAACGGGATAAGCTTGTGCTAAACAGGTGATAGAAGTTTGTTTGCTTTTGGTGTACAGATTTGGCTATGTAACCTAGGAAGCAACTACATCGCTGTAATAGATTGCAAGGTGTGGATATAGATTGTAATAGATTGCAAGGTAAGGCATATGGAAACTTGTGCTACTGGTTTTTAGAATATTGATAGATTATTGTGATGGGGAGAGGATGTGTTCTGGGAAGGTGGCTGAGACATGAAAGTACCAAATAAGATGAAACTGCTGAATGTGTTTGTTCTTTCACTAGCTCTGCTGGGAAGAAACCTCCATGCTTTCTGTGTATTCCCAGCAGACATTTTATTTTACTATAGCAGTGGTTTTCAGCATTTATTGATTGGTGACGCTCTTAATTGTCCAGCACTTCATTAGAACGCTTAGAACAACAGTGTAGCTTAATTTTCTCTGTCTTTGCTAGTCTGTGTTGATCTGAAAGTTAGACCCTTACAGTCAACAGATAGTCTTGAGCACCACTGTGCTATCATACATTAACTGAGACTTGAGGGTGAGGGGCATAACACTTATATTTATTTAAACTTGTTATCAACTGCAAACCTAGTGATTGCAAGCATTTAGATGTAGCATTTAATAGCTAAACTACTGTTATAAATGACTTAAAAAAAATCTTGTCTGAAATACCAAGTTCAGTGATACTTTTATCTTAACTTTGTTTTTACATTTTTCCCTGCATTCATTCATACTTCTCTTTCAATGCACTCTAACAAACCTGTGTGCGCTCTGCCATGATTTATAGTTAGGTAGGGGCTTGTAAGCCCTTACCTAGTTAGCTTGTTCTTTAGAAAGAATCCTATCTCTGATGGATTTTCACCCATAATATCTCTTCACACTTCTACATGTCTATTAAACTTGCAAGATCGTGACTATCCTTGTGGTTAGAAGTTGCTTGGATCCTCTTACTGTCACAAACTGTGCAAAATAATGCTGCAGATGCATAGTGTATCTTTTATGGTAAGTATTTATTTTCTTAGTGATATCACTTATTTCTGCATAGTTTATCCCTGTCTCATCACAGCCTTAATTATGCTAAGGTTCACCCAGAATTATTGATTGTTTAGTTTATAGGTAAAAGCATTGATAATTGTCAAGTATTTTCCCGTCTTCACTGGAGCAGAGGCTTGGAGGTAGACTTTGCCAACATCTATGACTTTGCCAACTTCCAGCCAATTTTGTTCACACTTCTCCAACACAGTGTTACCTGCAATGAAGCTTTATGGTTTTGTTTTCAGATTGAATTATAGCTAAAGAATTTGCAAGGTGTTAGAATCAAATGTAGACATACAGAGACAGGTTTGTATAGCATACCTTTGAGTAAAAAAAAAACCTGTGTGTCTTTTTTTTGTTAGTAAGCTGCCACCCACATCAGTGATGCTATCACATCCTTTGAAAAAGTAATCTGGCTTCTTCTTTGGAAACATGCGCAAGAGTTTGCCTTTCCTGAACAGAGAGACTATGGAAAGGTTAAATATGAATAGATTTGTCTTAATAATTTTCTTAACTATTTACTTCTGTAAGCCTTAAATTACTCCAGTTATGTGGATGTAATTCTGAGTAGCTGACAAAGTACACAAATTTGCTTTAGGGTTCTCCCAGCCTGCACATAGGCTGTGAAGCTCTGTGCAGATATGTCTTCGGTGTCTCACGTGTGAACTTTCCTCATCTTCTGATTAGCGTTTCCTGGCTAGCCCCCCCACCCCATCAGTTTTTAGTTTCAGTGTTGGATTGTATTCCTTAAAGCAGACATTCTAGCCAGAACTTAATATAAAGGTTGAATATTATTTATTACAAGGAATGTAGTATAGTAATTTTTTACATATCCCCTACTGGTTCACTGTATTCAGTGGTTTGTCTTTATTCATGTAATGTCTTAGTGAATCCTTTTGGATAGACATCTATGTTGTAAAATTTTCCAACAGCAAAAATAAATGAGAACTAGGACAAGGAACTATTTCAAAATGTTTGATTTAGATTCTCAATAGTATAAATAAGTGCACCACATTTTATTTAAGTGCTGCTTTAGAGAAGGATAATGTTAAAATTGAGGCATAACAAGAATAAATGATACTTTTTGGAGCACTTCGTAATGTCTAACTAGTACATGTATTATGTAAAATAAAAAATGTCATGCCCATTAGAGGAAGTAATGCTAGAAGATGGGTTGTAAATACCTCTTATGTCTTGAAACTTATTTCTACTGTAAGTTATACCTGTGATGGAGAAAAATGAATATTGTTAAAATGTCAAGTTTATAGTATCAAGTTTTTTTTTCCATATGAAAAATCTTTACGTTTAAGGGCAGCGTGTGTGTGGGGTGATACATCTAAGGTAGTCCACCCCAGCCTTACGGGTGTCATCAAGTTAAAGTCTCTCCTTGATGCCTTTCTCTTGTCCATATGGTGACACAGTTGAAAACATCAAGCAAAAAAGATAAAAGGTCTCCCCTTTTTTTATGTAGTTTTCTGTTGGGATTTGTCCCTGAACCGGGTCACCATGAAGTCTGACAAATGCTTATTCCATTTCTGTTTAGTTAAGAGAAGTGACAGGAGTGTATGGCTAGGAGAAGGGCTGCTTCTTAGCCATCTTAATTTATGGATTCAGGATGTTATTTAATATAATACACTAATAGCTATTCAGACAACATATCCCCTCCTGCAGTTTATTCGAACACTGGATATACCTTACTGGAAAGGGCTACTGTGAAGCATGCATTAGTATTTGGGCAGATCAGTTAACTTCCAATTCCTTTTGCTCATCTGAATTGGCTTCTGCTAAAAAGTTCACTCGTATAACTACATCGACGAAAGCTTAATAGAATATTTATGTTATGCAATGTGGTTGAATCTCAAGTTGCAAAATACACGAGAGGCTTTTCCATGGTAATTCCAATTAAGGTGAGCTACAACAGCATTCTTCAGTAACTTCACTGATTTTTTGACATTGTGTCTGCAGATGGAGGGGGAAGACCTAAGTGAAAGAGGACTGTCACAGATTGCTTCAATCATGAATAGAGTGAGAGACTTGAAAAACAAATACAGAAATGAAGATAATATCACCGATGAGCTTAACTGTACTAAAATCTCAACTGATACAACAGGTATGTGTTTTTGTTACTCTGTTGTCACTTATGCAACAGATCTTAACCTAAACTAAGAGTGAAAGAACCATTAACTGAAAGATTTGAGGTTTAGCATTTTTTCAGCGTTAATGACCACAAAATACATTTCATCTCTCTTTGTTTCTGTAATTAACTGTGTTACTCTAATCTAGTTAAAAAAAAAAAACAAACACAAACCACTAGTCATCTTTCCATGAAAGCTTATAAAAAGTGTTTTCTTCATGTTTGTTGCAGTTTTAATCAATCTCCTGTGTTAATTTTTCTGTCAGATAACTCTGGAACTGTTAATCAAATAATGATGACAACAAATAGTCCAGAAGATTGGCTGTGCTTTTTGCTTAGGCTGGAGAAAAAGGGTATTCCTCAGATGGATGTTAGCCTGCTGAATAGACTCATTGGTCGTTACAGTCAAGCGGTGACTGCATTGCCTGCAGAAAAGCATAGTCAAGATGAGAGCTATGCTCGCATCCTTGTCAGATTTGCTGAGCTGAAAGTGTAAGTACAAATTTTCAATATAAAAGCTCATTAATAATTCTGCATTTGAATGATGATAAAAAATAGCTTGTTGTCGTTAGTGGTTTCTGCAACAAATTATCAAAATGATAATGTGGATGTTTTCATATCACTCCTTGAAACTCGGAGCAGCTTTGGCTAGTCAGCTTATCTCTTGTCTCCACAGTACCTGCATTTTTTGTATATGCTAATAAACATGATTGTTCAGAGCTATTTGATTTAGAGATATTAATACAGGTTTTTTGTTTCTATATGTAAGGTACGTGGGGAAATAGCATGAGACTTTTTTTTTTTGGCAGCTTGATACTTCAGCTCAAAAGAAGCTGAATGGGTGAAATCTGATATAACTTTGGGTAACTATAGTCTGTGTATTAAACTGTGTTGTAAATGAGGATTAATTTCCCTGTGGACTTCTATAACTGATTTGGCTGTGAAGTAGGCAATTTGCTATTCTCTAATCCATCTAGTCAACCCCTAGTGGTCTATCGTCTAGTCTGCTTTCTCCCTTACTAGGAAAGACTCATCCCAGATACCTTAGGGTAGGAAGAATGTCTCAAGACATTATTCTGTACTCTCATACTTATGAAATTAGTTTTGATTCTTGTCATTTATTGCTTTATTCAGTCCAAATTTGAACAGTGTGGTGGTTCAGATGTTTTCAGACATAGTTTGGGACAGTTATAACTTGATTTTTTGGTAAGGAGACCTTCTGAAATATCATTACAGCAAACATTTTTAAGAGCTGAGTTTTAGCATTGCAGCAGTCCTTAACAGTTGGAGTTGAGCTGGTGGTCTTCCAGTGACGTGGCAATCTGCACAGCAAGGCACCTCTTCAAAGGAGGGGCATTACACTGGTAGAGTGGGAGCCTTGAACTAGACATAACCCAGCAACCAGGCACTGTTCTGTGACCATCTACACAGGTCAAAGGCACTCACCCTACCTGACTCTCAAGGCAGAGTGGTGGGCACTTGTCTGAGAGCAGTGGCTGCAGCTCCAGCTGGGGAGTGTGCACCATCTATCCCAGTGGTGGCCGATGCCTCTACCCAGATGGAGCTGCTGAAGGGAGAGGCTGCAGTGCAGACCTCAGACTGGAGAAAGTGCCTTGACTTTTCTCCTGGGGCAGGGACAGGCAGCAGACCTGCCTGCAAAAGGGGTGCCCAGGTGGAGGACCTCCTGCAGCAGGTGGCTGAGCTGCAGGAGGTGGTGAGAAGGCTGTGAAACGTCAGGGAGGCTGAGGAGTTCCTAGCAGAGTATGCAGTGGACCCACAGCCAAATAGCCAGAAACTCCCCCACCAGCACACACAGAAGAGAAGGGAGGCCAATAATGCGGAAGAATGGAAGCTTGCAACAGCAAGGACCAGCAGGAGCAAGAGACTTGCTCCAAAGTCTGAGGTGCCCTTGCAGAACTGCTTCACCACTCTGGGGACTGAAGAGGAAAGATCTGTCACATCAGGAGAGACACTGGAGCTGAGTAAGGCAGCCTGATCTACTCCCTATATAACAACCAGTGCAACTAAGAACAGGCGACAGGTGATAGTAGTAGGTGACTGTCGTCTTTGAGTTGTATGGAGGTGCCTGTTGCTGACCTAATGCACTCTCTCTGTCTAGAGAGATGTGCTGCTTACCAGGGGTTTGTATCAGGGGTGTCAGAGACCACCAAGCCTTGTACAGTCCACTGACTATTATCCACTGCTGCTGTTTCACGTGGGCACCAGTGATGCAGCTAGGAGCAGTCTGAGGAGCATCAAGAGGATTACAGAGCCCAGGGAGTGGTGGTAAAGGACTTTGGAGTGCAGGTTGTTTTTTTTGTGAATTCTGGTTAAAGGGAAGACATTTGAAAGGGCCAGTTGAATCTGATGAATCAACAAAAGGTTACAGGACTGGTGCCACAGCCGGGCGTTCAACTACTTAGACCATGGGACTTACTTTGAGAAACCTGGTCTACTGGGGGCTGATGGGGTCCATCTGACAGAGAAGGGGAAGAGCATCTTCAGTCATAGGCTTGCCAAGCTGGTGAAGAGGGCTTTAAACTAAAGTTGCCAGGGGATGGGACCCTCAATCCATTCCACTCCTACCAGTTTGATGCCAGTGCCAGCAATAGATGCGCAGAGCCTGGAGAAGGGTCACAGGTCAGCAGGAGAACACCTGAAGAGCAGCACAGAGGAATTCCAGCTGCTCCAGCCAGTAAGTCAGCTTCATCGGGGATCCCCGTGCGTGCAGCATGGGGAATAAACAAGAGGAGTTAGATGTGTGCATGTCTGCAAGGCTATGATCTTATTGGTGTCATGGAGAAGTGGTAGGATGGCTCCTATGACTGGAGTGTTGGAATGGAAGGCTACAAACTTTTTAGGAAGGACAGGCAGGGGAGACAAGGAGGGGGTGTTGCCCTCTGTGTCAGTGACCAGCTGGAGTGCATGCAGCTCTGCCTGGGGATGGATGAGGAGCTGACTGAGAGCTTATGGGTCAGGATTCAAGGCAGGGCGAGGTGACATTATAGTGGGGGTCTGCTTCCAACCAGGAAGACAGAAAAGCTTGTGTGGGTACGTCAGTTATAAAAGTAAGACTAGGGAAAATGTGGGTCCCTCTCTGGAAGGAAACAGGACACTTGGTTATCTGGGATATGGAGAAGGCTGAGGTACTCAATGACTTTTTTGCCTCAGTCTTCACTGGCAAGTGCTCCAGCCACACCACCCAAATCATTGAGAGGCAGGCAGAATGAAGGATTGGCACACTGCAGGAGAAGATTATGCTTGAGACCATCTAAGGAACCTGAAGGTGCACAAGTCCACGGGAACTGATGAGGTGCATCTGCAGGTCCTGAGGGAACTGGTGGATGAAGTTGCTAAGCTACTATCAATCATATTTGAGAAGCTGTGGCAGTCCAGTGAGGTTCCTACTGACTGGAAAAGGGGAAACATAACCCTTATTTTTAAAAAGAGTAAAAAGAAAGACTTGGAGAACTACAGGCCAGTCAGTCTCATCTCTGTGACCAGCAAGATCATGGAACAGATCCTCCTGAAAACCATGCTAAGGCACATGGAAATGAGGAGGCGATTGGTGACAGCCAACATGGCTTCACTAAGGGCAAATTGTGCCTGACAAATTTGGTGGCCTTCTATTATTACTGTGGGTTACTGCATTGGTGGATCAGGGAAGAGCAACTGATGTCATCTACCTGGACTTGTGCAAGGCATTTGAAGCTGTCCTGTATGGCATCTTGTCTCAAAACTGGAGAGACACGGATTCGATGCATGGATTGCCTAGTGGATGAGGAATTGGCTGGATGGACACACTGAAAGGGTTGTGGTCAATGGCTTGATGTCCAAATGGAGAGCAGTGATGAGTGGCATTCCT